CCTGGGATGCTCACATCCCCTCTCAGCCCCATGGTGTCACGCTCATACCCCGGCTCTTCTCTCCGAGTCCACGTGCGGACGCGCTGCTGCCCTCAACACATTACAGCCCGGGTGTTTTTCCAGCCGCTCTGACATAACAAAATTTCCAAGCCCTTTGCCCTCCCCAATGCATTATCTGCCACCAGGGACAGTTGGTCTGAATGAAGCAAGCCCCAGCCAGCTCTCTAAGGTCCAGGACATGCTGTCCATGGAAAAACAACACAGCAGAGAAACAAAAAGTGAGAGACTACCTGGCTGCTGTTTATAGGCTTCTCAGAAAAAGTCAGCAGTCAACAGCCAAACTTGAACATGCACGTCACTCCTTCGCTTATGGAAGGCGAGCATGCTGAATGCCTGGCCTCCTTTCAGCCCAGCAGCCCCATCTCTGCATTTGAAACCGTAACAGTGGAATAAGGAGCAGAGCTCAAGTTGGTGCCCGCTGGAGTCAATTGGAGATGCAGGTGCCAGAGGCTTTTTTAGATACAGAACAGTGATTCTTTGTACCTTTTTTTTAGTGTGGGTTGCTGGATTCCACCCTCGCTCACACACAAAACAATTTCTGGATGGATATTTCTACTAAGGATCTGAGAGTGCCTCCTAATTAGCGAGTTTCCCAGTACTCGCGTCATATGGATAAATAACTTTTTTTGCCTCAGGAAGTGCTAAGACTCACTCAAGGCCTCTCCAGTAATCAGCTACAGAGTCAGGAAAAGTGACGTTGTAGCAGGAAGGATGCAGAGGACCAGCAATGAGTTATCCCAGCCCTATTTCTCCATCTGTCTGTTGCAATCCTATAATATGCTTTAGTTTCTGTTTCCATTCCTCCCTCCACTCCTTTCCAGGAAACTATAGGCCACTTTCCCCTTGATTTTCTCTGTCTGTCAGCTCATGAGCACAAGAAGAGTCACACGACATGCAGTGGTGCAAGCAGGGTGAGAGCTGGCTTCCCCAGCAGTTCCTTGTCTTTCCTGTGTTTCACTCCTATTTTACCTAACAATTTGGCTCACAGAGATGTGAACGCTGCCCTCCGCCCCTGCTGGCCAGAGCCCTGCTGGATGTTGTTCTGCGCTGCAGGATGCTTGGATAGCAAGCTGGGGCTCAGCGAGACGCTGGCTAAGGCATGCACACTCCATAGCGCAGGACAGGGGAGACTGCAGCAGAGTCTCCAAGGGCAAAGGGTTTCATCCAGCCTTAGCTATGCAGGAGACCGAGCACTATCAACGCTTTGAGTCAGCCTGACCCCAAACCACTGAAAAAGTGGTGCTTGGGTAGGGAATGTGGTGAGAGCTGGAAAGGTGCTCCAGCTGTGGCTGGAGGAAGACCTGCAGAGTTGGCAGAGAGATCAAAGCTCAGCCCTGTGAAATGCTGTGCAACTGGGTAGCTACAAACCCAGCAGTATAGGAATATCAGACCAGAAAAGCCACCAAGTACCATCTCTGTAGCTGCATGAAAACACACGCAGTGTAAGCCAGAATATTCTTCACAACATCTATTTAGATTGGATTGGATTTAGATCTAGAGATTTAGAAATCTGGTGACTTAGATTGAATATAAGGGAGAAGTTTTTGTTTTTTTTTAAAGGACAGTGAGGCACTGGCACAGGCTGCCCAGAGAGGTGGTGGTGCCCCGTCCCTGCAGGCAGCCAAGGTCAGGCTGGACGGGCTCTGAGCTCCTGATGGAGCTGTGGCTGCCCCTGCTCATTGCAGGGGGGTTGGAGCAGATGGCCTTTAAGGTCCCTTCCAACTCAAACAATTTTGATTCTATTTCTATTTTTCACACATCGCACAGCAGAGCAAGCTGGAATAAAACTAAGACCTATGGGATAAGGGACTGAGAGCCACAAAAGCACTGATGTCCCAGAAGGAACAAGCAAGGGAAGCCAAGGAACTTCTGGGATTGCAGTCTCTGCCGTAGCTGGAAATTCTTCCTTGAGTAAGCCATGCCAGTCACTGCCCTTGGTTTGCATTGAAATCAGTGGGAGCTGAGCATAGCTCATTCTTTAAAAGCAATGTCTCTGAATGACAAGAAAGCACAGCATGGCAATTGCTGAACTGAATGAATAATGGGTTCCATAGGTGCTGTCAGAAGGAGAGAAGGAAGATCCCAGCTGTCTCCAAACAACTTTCTCTGCACACTGGCAGATCCTTGGTATTTCTCCCAGATGGGGAGTGCAGGTCCAAGCCAAGTGCCCATGGTACAGCATACCCAGGCTTACATAATCCTAGGGGCCCAGGGTAATAATTAACACTGGCTCATTGCCATTGACTTTATGCTTGAGTCACCTGGCTGTTTGGATCAAACGTACAGCAGCCATTTAGACAATGAGAAGGCTCCCAGTAAGAGGATTTAGGTAAAAACAACCCCAAGGGAGGTTATGGAGCAGGGGCTGTTGCAAACATTTAATGTTACCAGAGTAGAGGGACACTTTTTAGGCAGATTTGCCTGGGTCAGTCCCGAGCGCAACACACTGGCAAGCAAGCTCTCCCTCTTGCTATTTCCCTCTCCTTGGCACCTTTTCTGAAAGTGGACATTATCAATGCAGCCTGATTTTATCTCATGCCCCGTCTTTACCTTTCTTTGCTTATCTGATGTCTCACTTATGTGTCCTATCACTTTTAGCCTTCTGTAACCTGCTGTGTGCTACTGATATTTGGTCTGTGCCACTGTCTGGGGCAAAGGAGATTTGGGATGTCTTGGTTCTGTTCCCATTTCCCTCTGCTTTGCTTCATGGTCTCAGACATATCACTTCACTGCCCTCTGTTTAGCCAAAGGCCAAAGAAATCAGGTCACCTTACAGAAAGGTCACTTTACTCTCATTCCTTACACTTCTTACCTTCAGTGTGACCTTCTCAGACGATGGCTGCTCGTAACACCGTTCCTCCACTGCTAGCTCTGAGTCTATAAACAGCCAAAAATTGCCAGTAAAAGCATTCAGAATTACACAGAGCACCCACAAGTGTTAGGAACAGCCTTTCAGTCACTGCATAAAAGCTATAACTCTGCACGTGCCCATTCATGCCTCCAGTTACAGATGCCTCAAGTCAGTGAGACTTAGCCATATGCATAATGGTGCCATGCTGTGCTTTACCACTCGGAGTTGCAAAAGCAAAGACATAACAAACCTTTCTATAGTTGTGGCACCAGTGCACTCTAAATATTTATTTATCTTCAGGTGTGTAGGCAGTAATCAAGCTTAAAGCAATGCCATTTTTTTCATGAGTCAGCAAAACCCACAGCTAGGCCCAGGCAGGCCAGTAACTCCAAGTAAACTTCGTCTTTTTTGAAATTTTAGTATTTTTTTTTGTGACAAACCTCTGAAAACATCATTAACTTTCATGCAGAACTAACTCTCACAGAAAAAACACCCTTCTCTTCTGAGCAAAATGTTGAAACTTTAGCTTAAATTTTCCTACAGGTAAGCCTTTAAAACTAGGGAAAGAAAACCAACAAACCACCACAAACTATACTCAGAAATTGTACTTAGAACAGAAGAGGGAAAAAAAAAAAAGAAGAAAGAAAGAAAAAGGAAGTGTTTCATGGACAGTATTCCAGGCTAAAACATAGCTTAGGTCTTAAGATTTCTACACTGCTGTGCTCCAGCAGTGGGCATTTTGTGCTACTCCACTTATGCTCTAAGCATTGCCTCTTGCAAAGAACGACTTCTGCCCCAAAGGCCTTGCAGGGTGAGTTGCCCAACATTATAGCAATATCAGAACTCCAGAGGAGATGGGGAGGAGACTGGTTAAAAGAAAGCAACTGTTTTAATGCATTCTGTTGGTAGGGTGAGAACAGAAGGGAATTGGTGATCCTCTTGGCACAGGTTTGCTAATTAAAGCAAGTAAGCAGTTAGAACACTTAAAACAGCTCTCCTTAGAAGTCTCGTCTTCAGGCTACATCTCAGGAGGTAAAAACACAATAGAGTGACCAGAGCTTGCTTTGCCACATCCCTCAATTCTCTTGCTGGGCTCCTAGGGGTGCTCCAGGAGAAATAATCAAGATCCGGAGATCCCCGGCAGATCAGCTGGCATCTTGGCGGCTGTACTTCAGGGAGACGCTTTCATCCTCAAATGCCCGTCAGTCTAAGAGTAAGCCTTGCTGGGAGATCTGGACCTGCTGCACTATTGCTCCCATGGATACTCAGATAACTTTACTGATTTCTTCTTCAAGTGAAGACTGAACACGGTACAAAGATGTCCCAGCTTGCAAACCACAAGAATCTCAATGTTGTGCCCGTGTTGTTCTGCACAGGAAGCAATGGTTGTTGCAGGACAGGGCATCTTCTCCTCAGTCTGAGGCATGCTCCATACTGCAGGTCCCAACACCACTCTTCCAGACGTAGGATTCACAGCAAAGCCAACCAAAGCACCCTGGCACCTTTGCTGTGCCGAGCTGCTCTTTCACAATCCAATCCTGTGACTGCTGGTCTTACTGCATGCTCCTTCCATCTAAGGATTATTCATAAATCAAGTCTCACAGTGTCACCGTGATGCATTCAATGTCACCATTTTACAAGAAAGGGAACTGAGGCACATGGCAATAGAGCCCTTTGCCCTGGGTCACACCGTGAGTCACCATCCCAGCCTCAAACAGACTGAAGCCCTCCTCCTTGACGCTAGCCACCAGAGCTTGAATTTCCTCAAAACCTCAAAACCTGCTTGCTCTAATTTATTAACCGCAGTCTGGCTGCAGCTGCAGACCTGCTCCACAGCCAGCAGAAACCATAGACGGCATTTGGGTCCCAGCGCTGCCAGGCGAGGTGTGAGGGCTCCGGCGAGACAGCTCGTGCCTCCCAGGAACTTCGGGATGAGAAAAACTGAAGGCAACTCGAGGTGTGCTCTGCCACCTCTCTGTTACCAGCACCTGAAAGGCTACATCCAGGTGAATCAAAATTTCCAGCACTAACATCTTGATTACGGAGCTGGTGACAAAGGAAATGGATGAATAATCATTTCAAAAAGGGATTTAAAATTTCCATTTTCATTTTATTGTCAAAGTATTTTTTATGAAGAACAAAAGAAAATATACAGAATTGTAACTTATGTACACTGGCTTTATAGGTATTTTTGTTTCCAATTTACACAAATTTTGATATGTTATTAAAAGATATTTTATATAGATATGCATCTATGTACAGTTTTATTTACATACATTCATAGGATGTGATATAAACCAGTCAATAGATGATAGTTCATTTATATTAATTTCTAGAGGACAAAAGGAATGCATTCGCCTTTGCTAGACCTGCTGTTCCTGCAGTGCGGGCTCCCGCTCTGCCTGGCGCTAGGATCGCAGCTTTCTATTTCCCATTTTGCCAACAAAAAGACAAACAGATGCCGTCTGCGAATGGAAAGGAAATGCAACATCCATTAAAAAATTGCTCCTAATTACTGAATTCTATTTTCTTCTATAGCTTCTTACAATTGCCAGAGTTCAAAAGGAAAAATGAAACAAGAAGAAACACAATCACTTGCCTGCTACAATCTGATCATTTGCTTAAATTCCCTTCTTAGCCAACTACCATACAAACTGTTTTCTTTTGGCTGTTCTCACCCATTCACCCACCCCAGCTGTGTGGAGCTCTGACATGGCTGTTGGTAAGGAAAAGTTCAGCGCTGAAGCTCACCCTGGGACAGAAGATCTCCTTGTGTTTGCTCACCTGGTTGGCACCCAGTTTGGGTACTGGGGAAATGGAGCCTCAGCCCCAGCTAGTGAGGCATCAGGCTGAGTGGGCAGTGAGTTCTCAGTGCTCGGCAGGTGCAGAGCACAGTCGTTTGCAAGCAGCCTCCTGCTGCCTTACATATTAGAAAACAGCTCTTCTGCTAAAGGCGGTGGATGCTTCAAGGCGAAGGAAAGCAGTTTCCTTCGATTTGTGGGCATCCTTTCACCCTCAATGGTAGCACAGGACAGGAAAAACATGAGCATGGGATGCAGTGAGTCACACCAAAAGGCCTCTGCACCAAACCATTTCATCCAGCCTGAGCTTTGGGTTTGTTTGGGGTACATCATAGCTTAAATATATATATATATATATATATATGTATGTATGTATGTATATACATAAATATTTATATATAGCCCTAACCAAGGAAAAGGTAAATGCAAGCTGGAGAAATGAGAGCGGTGCAGAGGCACGTTCCAGTACTCGCATGTCTCGCCTCCCCCTCTCCCTGACTCCCACTGTTCCTCCTCCTATGGCCGGCCCCTACAAATCCTTGGCTCGGGCGACCCAAAAACAAAGGAGTTGTTTTCATTTCAAAAGGAATTTGCTGTTTCCAAACTGGACAAATAGAGCAGCTTAATAAAAACTCACAATGAATGGCCTGTACATGAGCAAAGCCCTCAGGAATGCCAGGGCTATAATTAACTAGCAGCAAGCAACTCTTACATTTTCCTGTGCAGCAGAAAACAGCTAAAAATAAAACACTGTAATTTCCAAAAGAAGCAGCAGCAAAGAAGGGAAAGATAGAGAGAAAGGAAAAAAAGCATCCTTAAAAAAAAAAAAAAAAAAAAGGAGAAAAAAAAAAAAAAAAGGAAGAAACATCCCCCTCCCCTGACCCCAAAATATCTTCATTCTCAAATCATCTTTACAGGACACGGGATACTCGGACACGGTGGTATCAAGTAACAGCATTGACTGTTCTGTGAAGACAAATAAATTATCACTAGAAATGTAGTGAGCAAAGTGCTGTCATCGGCTGCTGTGGGACGGCTGCGGGAGGGGAGGTGGGAGCAGTCAGTTCACGGAGCGCACGGAGCGGCTGCTTCGCGGGAACCGATGCACCTTGACGTGTTTGGACAAGTGGTCGCTTCGAGCAAATTTCTTCTCGCAGACGGGACACTGGTAGGGTTTCACCCCTGAGTGAGAGCGCCGATGCCGAGACAGCTCATCTGACCTGGAGAACCTGCAAGAGAGGAGAAGGCTTTTGAGATAAGTGAAGAAATAAGGCCTCAAAACATCCCCTCGGGTCACTGGGAGATTCTTCTTGTGGAAAAGCTGAAATAAGCAAATTGAAAGGGACAGGACACACAACAGAACCACTCTGGTCCCAACCAGTGGCCAGCAGCAGCGATGGAAACACACAATTAACCCACATAAACTCTGAACTTGGTGCAATGCATGGAGGCAATATTTATTTGTAGAACACTTGCACAAAGCCCAATAATAAGGGTAAATAATATGGGTACAGCTCAACTGAGACAGCTCTGCTCCTTATCCCTCTGCGAGTCCCCTTCAAAGACAGTCCCTCAGTCTCTCTCTTGGAAATCCAAGCACAGATCCTTCTCAGGCGGTGGGAAGAACCAGCATCCCTCAGGAGAGCTCTGCTCCAAGCTCCATCACCAGCATCACAGCAGATGCATGCTGAGATGGGCCCCAGATAATAGCCAGACACAGTTACACAGAAGCTATGCAGTTTATCAGATCCAGCCAAAAATTGGCCTTTGTACATGCTCCTGCTGGCTAAATAAAGAAGACTTAGTATGTCAGTACCAGAGATGGTCAGTGTTATTGCAGTTGAAATCCAGGTGGGCCCCAATGACCGTTAGCATCGATACTTCAGGAGCAAACTGAAGTCAAGATGGAGACTCTAATTCCCAAATTTACCTCCCAGAGTCATTTTAATTTTAGATGTTTCCCAATTTTCATCTGAACATGAACATCCCCAATCAGCCATTGTGAATCCCACATTAGGCATTAATGAACTCAACTCAGCCAATCCTTTGGTCTCAGCAGCTGGCTCTTCGTCCAGTCTGGACATGACTGGGAACCATAGGGTTAATTAACAATGTCACACTAAAACAGCCTTGTCCAAATGGGTACAAAAAATTTGCTGCTTGACAAAGGGCAATTAAGATTTTTGTTGCCAGAACAGTAACAAAGAGCAGTACAGAAAGCGAGCTTGCAAGAAATGGTATCAGCTGTCTATTTACAATAAATAAATGAAGTCATGGGCACTAGTGGAATAAATGGGGGAAAGAACATGTAGAAAAAATGTGCCCTTCTGAAGCAAAATATCACATCATCAAGCGGGTGGGTACACTGTTTTTATGAAAGGGGAAAAACATGACTGCTGGGCTCCTATGAATAAGTCCTTCATGCAAAGAAAATAAGTTTCCACATAAAGGTTTTAATTAGCAGAGATCTCCTGCCATGAGCTGCAGAATGAGGTGCGGGCACTGGGAAAGGTTCCTTCCACTCCCACAGCACTTCAGACTAGCGCTGCTGCTCAGAGAGAGCCCTGTGAATGAAGATATTCCCCTGAGTGAGGCATAGAAAGGATCATCCATCCAGGGGTTTTTCTGTGGGAAAATCCTTCACCTATTCTCTTGCTTTCTTTGCCTTGCCCTTGCTTTGATGTCCTCAAAGAGTCACAGGCGCCAAGAAGAGCAGCAGGCAGATGCTCTAGTGGAGCCACCAATTCATTTCTTGCTGTCTCTGTGGGACTCGGCTAGGCAAGGAAGGGACCAGTTGCCCATGGTGGCAAGCACATCCAGGAAAAGAGGGAGCAGAGGGAGGAAATCTCCTTTGCATAGAGCTGTCTTCTTATATACCAACTTATCACCCTGAGGAGGAGTGAAACCAGATGTGACTGTGCCGCCTTGTCCCATGTCCTTGGCTGTTAAGGTCACCATCTGCAACACACACAGCTAATCCTGACAAGAGCTTCACAAGCACATTTCAGTGGGAAATGCACAGATAGTGAGGGAGAAATAGGTGCACAGAGGGAACAAGCGGCTCTGCTCCAACCCAGGGAGCTCAGATGAGTTCATCCGATAAAAATACTCGCTGCTTCATAACGATGTCCTTAGCTGAAAAGGCAGGAATGTTGCAATACTGTTCTCCAGCAGTCATGGAAAGATCAACTTACGGAGCCCACAGAAATAAACGTCAAGCTGTCAGTGTGTTTACGAAAAAACAACGCAAAGGTTAGCACAAGGAAGCCGGGAGATCTGGTGGCCTGGCTCCACAGTGACGCGATATTTGCAGCACATTCTGGCACTGAAACCATCCCCAAAGATGCTGCACACAATCCCTGATGGAAAGCCAAATTCAAATGAAAACAAGGCACCCCCAAGGAAGACCTCAACTAGCCCAGCTTACTGCTTTTTGCAGGATTCCTCCTTCGAAAGAAAGGTAGAGGGAACTGGGCAATCCCACAGAAACTGGAAGTCTCTTTCATCCCTCTCTCTGGTGGTTACCTGTAACTGCTTGGAGACCTGTAACCCTTGGAGACCAATATTGGAGCTCTGCTATGCATGGGACTTCCAGCCATGCAAGGACCCATGGCGCACAGGACATCAAGGTCAGTAGATTCAGTGGGGACTCCATGGTCCCAGCCATGGCCACCAGCCCCAGGGCTGCCACTGGTTGTGCCTCTGCCCTCTGGTGCAGAGTAGGCCCTGGATGCATCCTGAGCTGCTCCCAGCCCCTAAATCCTCACAAACAGGATGTCTCATGCGGAGTGGGTTGTGGAAAATGCTTCCAGATGAAGGATGTGCAGGACATTTGAACAGTATCGCCTAATCCCACAGCTTTTCATGCTGCCCAGGGGAAGGACAGCGAGAGCTCTCCAGCTCCTGACATGGCAGAGCTGCTGGGCCATCCCAGCATGCTGATGGAGCCACCTCAGGAGCAGAGAACCAGAGGCTGCCAAAGGCATAGGACACGTATCAGCACATGAGTACAGAGGAGTATGGAAAACGGTGGGCCACCTCACCACCTCCTCCATTCAGCCAAGCACACCCAGTGCCAAGATTCAGCCTCCTCGTTGGCTTTCCCACTGTCTCAGGGGCTGAGGAAGGGTCTGCAGTGCACACAGCCCTACCCTGGTGTACGCAGCTTCCTCACAGCAGCATCGCCCAGCAAGCAGGGTGAGATTCAGTCCCCCCCATGTAGCAACACTTTGTTGCATTTTTGAAATGACCATCTTCAGTGAGCTCACATCTCAAGTGTCTTCAGTGAAGAATAAATACACAAGCACAAGAATGTGGGGAAAGGGGGAGGAAGCAGAGCCCAGCAGTGCTTTAGTGTTTAAATTCATTCAAGATGATCTAAAACCGGGGGAGGACAGAGGATTTGGATGCTTTGACGTAAGTCATGTGGGACACTGACTGCACTTCTGGAAAAGGCAACAATTCTGTACTGATGAAAGAGGCTGAGCAATTCAGCACTCAGCAGGGTCTGATGTGGGAGCAGGGTGCACGGAGCCCTTCTGGGCTGCTCACCTGGAAGTATGCAAGTACAGCCACTAGCCTCAGGGTCCCTAACAACACATCCCATGCCTTAACCCCTGCAGCACCCGGCTGCAATGCTCAGCCTCCACCCGTCCTTGCCCTACATGCTTCCCCGCAGCTCTGCAGCCTGGAAAATGCCTTCTCTATAGAAAAGCAGAGCTAGAGCAGGTCACCCAGAGGCAACACTTCACACTCCTGATCCTGAGCCACAGAAGTCACAGGAAGCACTGCTGTAAATCTCGGCATGGACCAGATCCAAACCTCACGTGCTACACGCATTTGCCACAGAAACGGGATTTTTGTACAGGGAAAGCCAACACAAGACCCAGGGGCAGGATGAGTATCGCTGTCTGCAGTATGCACACTCACAACAAAATAAATGTGTGACAGGCCAGGGGCAAAGTGCCTGTGCCTGGTGGGACCAGTGGGCTGAACAACACGATGTTGCTTTCAGCACATCCTGAGCAGCCGCTGAGCCCTCCGCTGTGCCACACCACTCACATGCACGGAAAGAAAATCCCCACCCATCTGCAGAGCCACACAAATTGAAATATGTATATAATAAACAAAGAAATGAATTTAATCGAATCATCTAGGAGGCAAACTTCAAATTTGGGCCAGTTTGGGAACAGAGGATTCTGCCACATTCTGACCTTTTCCCTCCATCCAATTCTGCCATTTCTAACTGCTGCCTTGTCTCACAAAATTGCATTTTTACTCACTGTTTCTCCTGTTACTTTTTACCTTGTCTGTTGCCCACGATCACCACCTATTTCTTCACTAGCCATTGCTCACTGGAGCTCTGAAGGATATTCTTTGAAAGAAATCTGGTTTAAGTTAATACAAGGGAGTTAAGGCTATGTTTTGCTCCCATCATCAGTTGTGGTGCTTTTTATTAACACTTGCCAGCAGGCAGAATTAGCACAGCTAATTGGAAGGAGAGACAGAGGCCTCCATCAAAGTCTCTGGCAAGAAATTCAACTTTTCTTCTTTAATTTTTTCAACTAGTATTAAAAAAAAAAAAAAAAATTAGAGATTGCCTCTACAAAACACTTTGCTCAATCAAACCTGCAATCTTCCATTCAATTCCATCTTAGCCTTCTGGGGATGCTGTTACATCTGACAGTTTTTTGCAACTTTGAGCAGCACCCACGCGTTTTTCTCAATCAGTGCAGAGAATAAAACCCAGAGAGCCTGGAGTGCCACTGCCAGCACTTGCAGAAGGCGTGGGATGGAGCATGTTTTCTACAAAACTGCACAGAATGCTGCTTTTCTTAACCATACTCACTTAGTACAGCTCTTCACCAACCATGTTTAGCCCTGTGCAGCCCTGATTCACACCGTGATTCTGCCCTAAAGCACCCTGCTCATTTGGTACCAGCTGAGCATCTGCAGCTGCCGTGTTGCAACCAGGCTATCATGAGTGCAAGGTACTGCCTGCAGTTACAAGCTTAATCTGACCATCTTAGTACAAAATACAGTTATAATAGGCTTTTTCTTTTCTTTTTTTAAAAAAGACGCTCATCCAACTGGTGGCAGCAGGTGATGTTCTGCCATTTAATATATCAAGTCCATTGGATTACCCAACAGGAAGAAAAGATCTTAATTCTCAAGCAAACCGAGCCAGCTTTGGGAACAGAAATTGTTCATAAATGAGAGTGCAAACCTATTTGTTCAGCAAGTTAGAGAGGGGGATGAGACACTGCTGTGCCCTGATACTAACCTCCATCCGCAACCTGGCCACGTGCAAGCAAAAGGCTTTTCTCCCGTATGCCTCCTCAGGTGGGCTTTCAAATGGCTGCTTTTCGTGTACATCTTGGTACAACCAGGGAAAGAACATTTGTGCATTTTAATGAGTTCTGCTGCAGGGTTCTTTTGAAATTTCTGACCCATGATGATTCCCGTCTGACCCTGGATCATGCCTCCTGGCCCAATTGGCTTGGCAGCGATGGGGACGGGAGCAATGCGGACAAATTTAGAGGGCAAGTTCAAATTGGATGACTGAACTATCTGGGGCACAAGGGCAAACGTCTGTCCTTGGATGTTGACTAGGAGCTGTGCAATTTTAATGTTCTCCTGTGCTGGTCCTTGGGAGCTAGGGCTCGTGGTGGACTCCTGTTTGATCTGTACAGGCTGAATTTGGAGCATAACCGGTATGCCATTCTCCAGGGACACTCCTCCATTTGAAGCTTGGCCACCTTCCGTCGAGCTGTTCAACTGTTCATTTTTACTCTCTTTTAAAGTAGCACTGGGTAACATATGGTCTTTTTGCTGTAGCGAAGCAACAGAAACTTGGCTGCAAGCTCTCAAGTCCTTGGTCTCACTTTTAGGTCTTTCTTTGAGCTCCAGCTCCATGTTTTCTTCCAGAAATTCCTCAATTTCCTCAAGCGTGGGCTGAAATGGTCCAGAGTCTTCCATATCCACAGCAAATTCAGGCAACCTAAAATACTCCTCTTTCACTATGGGCTGAAGTCTCCTTTTGTCCCACCATGACACAGCGGTGTTCCCCAAAGATGCCTGGGACAGCAAGTAGTCTAAGATGCTGTCCTGACTCTCCGCACTGGATGTGCTTCCATAGCTGGAGCTGAGAACTTGGGATTCCGGGCTGGAACAAGAACAAAAGCTGGACGAGTCGCTGTCATCTTCTGACAGAGGAGAGGGCAGCATTTGGTAGGACCTCACCCCTGCTGTCATGTCCCTAAAGTATCCCAGAGAAGACCTTGTAGATGAAAAGGATTCATCAGTAGGCACCAGGTGATCCACCATTCCTGGGCGAGCTCTTACAGGTATCCCAGCAGCATATACCACGCAGCGAAGGTTCAGGTGAGAGCCTGGGTGCAAGGAAACAAACCACCAGCAGTCAGAAGTCAGTTTAATTATTCACCTCCATGAACTAAACCTCACAAAGCCCTCCAGCTTGCAGGAAAGTCCAAAGCACTCAGCCTCACCATGCACATGCTGCTGCACGCTTTGCTACGTCTGTGCCACCCCTAAAGGACTGCCAGGGCTGAACCGTTCTGCAGGATTGCACCACGTATTTACAAAAGAATTCTTTCAGAAATCATTTCACAACTGCATGTGCTTCAGATTTACAGCTCCCTTCCAGAATATTACTGCCAAAAGGAAATAAATTATGGGCTCTCACCTAGCAGTGAAGCCAAGAGCCAAAGAAGGGAAGGGGAGAAGAAAAGAAAAAAAAAAAATTATTGAAATTTTTACCACCCTAAAAAAAACAGAAAAACAAACAAACAAAAAAAGAATTTTATTGCTGGGGTCCATAAAATGCAAATCCTTCCCTCATCTTGCAGCTTTCCATCAACCTTATTTTTAACTTCCTCCGTTCCACAAATACAGGCTAATCAGCGTAATGCAGGGATCAATCTGTCAGGAGCCAAAAATATTTACTGTGCTTCAGCATTCACTAGGCGGATTTTCCCCTCCAGATGTAATGAATCAGTGTGCCAACGTCATCATCACCTGCACTGCCCTTAACAAGGTTGGCACAGCGCTGAGCTAATTACCGTGGTCAGCTGCCGGCTGCCTGCACCCCATCCTTCACATCCCATCCCTTTGGGTACGGAGATCCTGGCAACCCAACCCTTGTGCTGGGTGCTGAACTGGGAGGGCTGGAGTGGTCCCAGTTCCCCCTGCAGAAGTGGGATCCTATGGGACTGCACTGAGCCCCAACCCCATGGCACCCACACAGGCAGCACCACAGCGTGCCGACAGATGGGCACGTCCCACAGTCTCCCAGTCAAGCTAAACAAAAGGTTATTGGGAAGCAGGGAAGGCAGAAGGGGTATCTGTGGGTCTGTTGTCTTTTTTTCTTTCCTGCTTCCCAGGGAAAAGAAAGAAGTTTCTTACGAGCTGGAGCCTGTGCCCCTCGCAGTGACCGCGTCCCCCCGCACGGAGCGCACAGTGGCCCTCAGTCATCGGCTGAAGGTGACTGATTGAAAGCAGAGCCCTACGTGTGCATAATAAAACAACTCTTTCTGGGGAAGGCATGCGGCGGGCAGAGATAGAAGTCATTTGATCAGCCTATGAGGGGTGCGTGTGTGAATTAGGAGGCATGTGACCAGCGTGAAGGAAATGCCACTCAGGCTTGTTACACGCTGTCATTTTCCACAGGCTCTGCCGCTGCATTTTGGACGCTTTGCCATGAATAGTCAATAGCTCTGTGCAGGGACAAGAGCCTTCCTGCTGCTACTGAAGCCCCAGCTCCAAGATTTGCCCATCCTTGCCTCCTCTGGGGAAAAATGAAAAGCCGTATGTGTGCTCGGCAGCAAACGTGGCACACAGCACCCTCAGAGACCTCCATCCCACTGACAGCATCTATTCATATTTTGCAGGAAATAGGGGGGAAAAAAAGCCTCATTTCTTAAAGACACAGCTTCCTCCTCCATCCACACATGCAGGCTGAAAGAGCTTAGAAGCGAGCCCGCATGTTCCCCTGTTTGTGCAGCTCCGAACGCTCACATGTGCTGAGCGCGAGGAAGTTCACACAGAGGTTAGCGGCTCAGCCTATAACCATATCCTATAGTAAAAGTGAAGAGCCAGAAGAGCTGAAATTTGACACATGGCTCAAAGAACCAACAACAAACTGAACACTGCTGGAGGAACTCTCCGCCCGGACTGCAGCAGAGCGGTGCTGAGAGCACACCGTGTTTTTTCTAAGAAACGCTGGCGCGCTCTGAGCAGCTGGCAAGGTTTCCTTTTGCAAAAGGAAAAAGCTCAGGTTTTCTTTAAATGCCTGCAAGAGGCAGGAAGCCACGTATCAGCACAGCCCTAAACACGGGGAATAGAACTAAACCCTGGTGAGAATGAGGGCTGAAAAGAAGGAATGCCAACGGGAGCAATGAGCAGCAGAGCTGGCAGGGGACAGTCTGTGTGCGCAGTGCCACCTGCATCTCATGAGGACGGGGACTGTCAGGATGAACACATCATGCACAGCACACACCGGGGCTGCGTTCCACTCTCCCAAAGCTCATGCAGCAGCCAAGCGGATTTTGGGGAATGCCTGGAATGCAGGATCGAGCCCAAGCTATATTTTATCCTAAAGGCCAAGCCAACAACCGAAGGCTTTCATCCCTGCTTCGTCCGAAGGCTCAGCCAAAATCAGGAGCTTCAAAAACAAAAACAAAACGCCAGGGCTACGCGAGCGATGAGAACGAATGATGGTGTTTACATAAAGCACCTCCATCCCTGACAGCAATGTGAGCACAGGCAGCTCAGCACGGGGCAGCAGCTGCTCAACTATGCAGCACCACAGCCGCCTTCGGAGAGGTCCAAAGTGATAGGATGGCCCCCGTGCCAAAAACATGTTGTTCTGCTGAGATGTGTTCATCTAACCACCGGCTTAAAGAGCAAAATAATAATAAAGGGAGTGAGAGGGTACATTCTGTCTCACAATGACACCAAATGTTAAGCCCTGGGAATTTGCTGAGAGCTGGGGACTGTTTCCCAGTTTGTCACTTCTGGACTGTCAGCCCAGCACTGCCGATAACACAGCGCTACGTGGGCTCAGATACACTGACACTCATCTGCTATGTGTGTTGCTGCAGCTCTTTCAAGTTTAGGACTGATCCTTGCAGGATTTACCCTTGCTCCATAGGTTGTAAATCAGTGCAGGCTGCCTCCTGCCACAAAGTGAGCAGTGAATTTCTAAGATAATAAAATGGAAGTCAAAGGAAAAAAAAATAATAATAAAAATTATATATATATATATGGAAGTGAATAAAATAATAATCAAAATGAGACGCCAAGAGCCAGAGAGCCCATCTGCTGCCAGCCCTGCTGCAAGGTGGCTGCACAGCTCATCGGACACTAGGGCACAACAGCACTATTTAGGGGCCTCCCTGCCTTTTTCCAACCGCACTGCTTTTGGGAAACCTCAAAACCCTCCCCAAGTCCCTATTTTCTTTCGACCACCCCTTTCACATCCAAACTTTGGCTTCCACACAAGGCAGCTGGCAGTGCCCCCCCCCCCACACACACACACCAAGTCCCCAAAACAACACATGCTAACATGGGGGGCCAGGGGGGCACAACTCACACTCCAACACCAGCACAGCCACATCTCCACCACTGCAAAGCATGTGGTTCATTGTTTTTTTAGTGGGTTATTGGTTATGCTTGTGTCTGGGTTTTTCTTTCTTTTTTTTTTTTTGGGGGGGGGGGGGGGAGGGGGAGGGTGAAGAGGGGGGGAAGAGGAGAGGGGTTGTTCAGTTGTTTGTTTGTTTTCTCTACTTTTAATATATTATTTTTCCTCTCTCGCCCTCCTCAAGCTGTTTTTTTCCCACCGCTGGAAAATGTGACCTTCCCAGACAGGCAGCCCTTCGCAGCTCCCCCCCCCCCCCCCCCGCCCCACGGCGGTACCGGGGGTTCCTCTGCCGGACCGCGCACCCCTCGCACGCCCTTACCTGAACTTCTCCGCCAGCCGGCCTTCGGGGATTGCGGGGGGGCTGGGGGGGTGGGAGGGGGAGATGGGGGGGGAGAGAGGAGAGACGGGAGAAAACGCCGAGAATTCAAAAAACAGCGTTGAAAACGCCAAACGCGATACCACAACGATTTACGAACAAATAAATAAATAAATAAATAGATTTTAAACCCGGAGAATCGAAAAACGGCCAAAAAATAAAATAAAATAAAATAAAATAAAAAAATCTTAAAAAAAAAAAAAAAAAAAAATCAACCACCTAACCGCCAAACGGCTGGGAAAAAAATAAAAATAAAAACCAAAAAACAAAAAAAACCCGCACAACTAAACCGAGGAACGAAGAAGACAGAAGACCCCCCCCTCCGGTCCCAACAGCGCGGCGGGACGCGGAGCGGAGCGGGCGCAGCTCCCCCGGGAGGCGGCGCGCGGTGCGGCGCGGCCCCGCGGCGTAGTACTATAAACCCTCCGGCACGGCGCCGGCGGCCGCGGGGGGGCCGGGGAGAGGCTCGACCGCGTCCGCAGCCCCCATTGGCCCCGCAGCTCCGGGGGCCGGCCCATGTTCAGCCTCAATGGGAGCCGCGCATCGCACGGCCCGGCCCCCGGGGCAGGCGGTTCGCGGCCACGTGCGGATCCCCGCGGGTGTGCGAGTCCCGGGCTGTGCAAGGCTCGGGGGTGTGCAGGACCCCGGTTCTTCTCCTGCCCGTGGGAAATCGCTGCTGGCTTCTCCCCTGGCATTATTACAGTTGGTTTAATGTACGCATATAAAGAACTAGTTTTATAAGTGCACAGTATTGTTTGTGTATCTGTATACACATATATATGCACAAACATATATATACAACACGTATGTATATATACACACACATATGTGCAAACATATCGTCATACATATGTGTATACAATATGTATGTGTATATATACATATATATACACACAATACTGTGTATGTGCATTGTCTACACACATGTATATATATACACTAGTTATATATATATATGTGCATGGATATAAAAACATAGAACAGCATAAAGATCATCCAATTCACACAGCATCACACGGAATCATAGAATCACCAAGGATAGAAAAGATCTCCAAGATCATCCGGTCCAACCATCCGTCACCAGTGTCACCCACCACACCACATCCCTCAGTACAACATCAAAATGTTTCTTCACACCTCCACCACCTCCCTGTGCAGCCTGTACCAGCACCTGACCCTGCTGCTGAGACATTTTGACTGGTAACGGGTCTGAGCCTTCACATCCCACTGCCCTGCTGTGATGCCTGTGCTGTTCTGCAGCACAGCTGGAGAAATCACAGTGCAAATTGTTGCCATTCACAGTAAGTCTCCCTCCAACCCTGATGGAGTAGCAGTATTAAACGCCAGCATGCCAGGCTGGCAGCAAAGTCTTGTGGCTTTTATTTTAATTTTTTTTTCAATTGGTTGGAAACAGAAATGCTGAGGTACTGACAGGCTGACTCCTGTTCTTACCCCTGCCATCAAAATGGTTCCAAAGAATGTTTATCAATCAGGTGATAGGCGCTTTATATATAAAAATATAAATATAAATATATATATTAAAAAAAAAATCAGAGGAGGAAATTTTCCTAATATCCAACCTCCCCAGGAGCAGCTTAAGGCCATTACCTTGTTTTATTACTATTAACAGGGAGCAGAGGCCGACTCCTGCCTTGCTACAACCTCCTTTCAGTAGAGAGCAATGAGATTTCCCCTGAGCCTCCTCCACTCTGAACCATCCCAGCTCCCTCAGCCGCTCCCCATCAGACTTGTGCTCCAGGCCCCTCACAGCCCCGTTGCCCTTCCCTGAATACATTCCAGGACCTCGATGTCCTTCTTGTACTGAGTGAACCCCTCAGTAGTCAACTGAACATAGTACTCAATCCCAATCCCTCTGCAAAGGACACACTACTGATATATGTGATATACACATTTCTAAGTTACATGTCGTACATATGTGGGCTCAAACACGCCACCATTCATTCACTGTGTCTGTTGCTGCAGCTCTTGCTTGTTTAGGACCAATCTCTTCAGGATTTTCTCCTGTTCAGTGGAAGATTTTAAATCAGTTCATCGGTGGTTTTTCAAGCTCCGTTTATATGTTTCCAACCCTGGAAAGGCCCACGCCACGCTACCAGAAGACAGCCTCATGGCAGCAAACCTGTACAACTTTCTGAGATCCCCATTAGGAAAAAATAGGATATTAGGAACAACTTCTTCTCTGAAGGAGTTGAGATGCACTGGCAGAGGCTGCCCAGGGTGGTGGTGGAGTCACTGTCCCTGTAGGTGTTCAAGAAATGTGGAGATGTGGCACTGAGGGATGTGGTTATGGGCATGGTGGAGGCGGGTTGGGGTTGGACTTGGACATCTTAGAGGTCTTTTCCAGCCTTAACAGTTCTATGATTCTGCTGCTCCAGGACTATGGGCTTCGGAGATGACTCGATGGTGCCCAGGCAGCCCCCATGGCTGCAGACCTGGGGAGCAACAGAAGCTGGATTGGGTGGGGGAAGGAAGCCCTGGGGGGTCACAGAAATGGTTTGCAAGGGGTACTGAGGGATGGGAGGGCTTTGTGCCTTCTCTTCCCCCCGGGGAAGTGAAGCTTAGCTTGATGCAATGCAAAGGCATTAGATTGAGAAATTCTGATACGGCTAAAATCCCAGACCCTTAAGATTGAGCTTATTGGAATGAGAACTGCTTGCTTGTTCAGACAGGGAATTACCTTAGAATGTTTAGTACCATGGAAACAAACAAAATTTACAACCTTCATTTTACTATTATGACCTAAATATGCACTGGGACACATTAGAGGTCTAAATTTTGGACAACTTCTTTAGATTTAAGTTCCAGTAAATTCCAGCTTTCTACTTCAGAAGAGGGAGGAAAATCACATATTTACTCACGTGCAAGTAAAACAGTGCACGCCCCAGTTCTGCTTTTCAAGCTGCTTTCACTTCACGAGGCCAAATCCTTTCCGTTTCCCCACCAGCACCATGCAGGGCTGGCTGCATTCTGTTGTTACACAAAAGCTGAAGTGTGCAGAGGGCTCTGGCAGACCCAGATGCGTGCAGCTGCTGAGATGAGATGTCCATCCGCCTTTCCTTGTGCCAGTATACAGCTGCACGCAGAGGCAGTGGAGGGACCCGTGGCTTTACCTGCTATGGACGAGTCACTTTGAGGGATGGGTTGAAACCTGTTAAACCAGGTAACAAACTGGTGAGGCTGAGCCCATCTGTGCTGGTTCATAGGATGAGTAACTTCAGCCACAGTGCAAAACCCTGCAGAGCACTGTATCCATTTAATACTAGGCAATAGCAATCACTAGGAAGCAAAATGCAATGGAAATGAGCACACGTGTAACTAGGGGTTCTGTAGTTCTCCAAGATTTTCCTGGGGAAAAAAAAAATATGCAAGTAGGCAACACACAGAGAAAATGAGTCCCCAGCATCCAGGATGAGCCTCTGACTTGAGCTTGCTTGTGCACTGTGTGACACGTTCTGGATGCATCAACATTCTTACACGTGTGCAGGTGCCCTCTGCCACATGCGTGGGATTTGCTGTGCTGGGAAACTCCAGGAAAGTCCTTGCGCATCTGTGTGGTGCCTATGGCACCTCTGGGTGTTCAGCAGTCTCGCAGATGTTCCTGCTCTGACCAGGCTACTGGACAGCAGGACATCCTGGACAAACATCCAAAGTCCGCTTTTTCTGCCCAGGCATAAATTCTAGACAGACAAAGGACACGCTGAAACCAAACAAATACAATATACGACAGCATGAGTTCTGAGGTTTAATTTCAGCATAAAGAATTTCACTCCTGTGCAAACTCACTACAGTGCAACAGAAAATAATGAGAAAAAATGCTCAAGTTGGTGTTGCTTGGAGCCCAGATCTGAGGTCATCCTTTGTGGAGGATGTCCACAGCTTCATCCTCTACAGCACCTTTTCTGAGCTGAGATTTTATCTGAGGAGTTTTCTTTCCCAGGATGATCACACTGAGGTTGTTGTATGGCCTCAACCCACAGCCATGGTTCTGGGGTCCATAGATGCACTTCTGGGCGTAAACCAAAGTTGAGATTTACATGCGACAATGGCAATGCCATGCACCTCTCAAGCTGTGAACTGATCTTCTGATCGATTCCTTGAAGCTCCATGACAGTGAAAGCAATTGGCACATAGCTGAGCTTTGCTCTTGGTGTCGGAATCCCTGTGAGGTTTTGCTTAACAGCAGAAGAAATGCACATATCTCCATCAATACAATGACTTCTGGTCACTTCTGACGGCCAACTCTTGGTGCAATGACTGCTGGCCTGGGGCAGGCTGTCAGGTCAGGGTTAGAGAGATCCATGCTGCTGTCACCAATGGCTTTGGATCAGCTTTCTTCTGCTCAATGGCTTCATTTGGTACTGCAGCAAAACTGACCCCTGCTCCATGCTGTAAGATGCATTTGTCCTCTCGCCATCTCACACCTTTTGTGCATTAAGACACTTCCTTCCCTGTTCATCTCTTCACCAAGAGTCCTTTTAAAATCTGTTTACCTCTGTCCTTTGATCCTGCCTGGGGATTTTCCATTTTCTCTTTGCCACCTTTCAGGAGGGAATTTCGGTCAGACTGGTTCTCCTGCTCAGACAGCCTCTGTGGCATTCCTCTGCCCAACAAATGCAGGGCCTAGATGAGGTTAAGGGACTTTTCATTGTCCTTTGTCTCATAACTGTGTGCTAAAGATCCACTCAGGAAAGGCAAACACAGCTCAGCATTGGAGCCTTTTAACATTTTCCTGGAGATAATAATAGCAAAGCATTATCAAGTCAAAAAAGAAACTGCAGGCTGATGTTGATCCCAAGCTGTTATGCACAAAACTGATAAAGGTGGGAGAAGGAATGTCTGCCCACACATTGCCTTCCCATCTGTGGCTGTCCCAAGGCTCATTTTTCCTGCCTCAAGTTTTCCCATCTTCTGTAATTTGCTCATTATTGTGTTACAAATGATTTCCCATTTCTGAGTAGGGTGGAAGGAAAGGAAGATTTGAACATGGGCAAAAGGAGAGATTGTGCCGCACAGGTAAGCACTGTGCTGCCTTAGAGGTCAACTGCTGTAGTTCTGCACCAGCAAACCGTTAGTAATGAGGCAAGATCACTTGGCAGAACAAGGGTTAGTCGGGCTGCATTGATTGCTTGCACACTTCTATGTAAAGATTGACGTTGCTCTTTTCCAATGAGAGAAACAAAAATAATCAGGAGAAAAAAAACTGAGGACTTCAATCCGTCAACAGATGGATCTCACTTAATGCCACAACACAGTGCCTGGACCCCGCTGTCCTGCATCTTTCAGCCCCATTGCAGGGAGCAAGGGGAGCACCCAAGCCTGTCAAAGTGCAGTAGCACTGTGAGCACTTTAACTCAGCAGTCCTTGACATTCACAGATAAGGACTGCAAGTTCTTTTGGTACTACAGAAATATTGACACAAAGAATATGTTTATCCCTGACTGTGGTTCTGCAGGACAAGGTGGAAATGGCAACAGCAATCTCAGGGCTTAATTTCTTTGGCCTTGCAAGGGCATCTCTGCTTCAGAGACAGCAATTCATTGATTCCTGTTTTCCTTTAACTAGTTTGGAAATTATGTTTTCTTTTTAAGTCAGAATTATAGGTCTAGAGGGAGATAAGATAGAAGAAACTCATTCTAGGCTTTTTTTTTTTTTTTTTTTTTTTTAATGTTAATGCTCTTTGGAATATTAAAGACAGTGGGGAGCTGAGCAGAGTTTCTGATTTTCTCCCAAACTTTCTGTTCATTAAGATACTGAGAGAGAACATTAGCTGACTTCTGGCTGTTATTTTCCCAGGCTATGTTTAACTAGGTCCACTTCCAAACTTGGCTTTCTATGCAGACCTGCATTTTAATATATGGTCAAACACACCTAAAGAGAAGTGCTACACCTACTGATATGCTGAATGGACCGGGGAATCAGACCACCTCCTGCAGCTCCTAGAGGTTCCAGAGCAAGCAGAGCAGCCCGGTTCAAGTTGTCCCTCCTGAAGATGGCTCAGGAACAGGCAGGTCTGTCAATGTGACAAAATCCACTGATTCACTTTGAGATTCAGCACCTACCTCTACTGCGTTTAAAAAACCAAAATAGACTGGAGGACATACAGGAAGATCTGGGCCATGAGTAATCCTGGCTGTGGTTCAGGAGCAGATCTGCAATAAGCTGTATTCCCCTGCCCTCTCCTGGAAGGAATACGCAGAGCTGGGTGTGTTTGTGCAGGATCCTTGTGCTAGGGACTCTGGGCAGCAGATGGTGGTGAGAGAAGATGGTCATTTTGAAGACAGTGTTTAGAAAAATGAAAAACGATGGCTGTGTTGTATCCATCATGTGTTGCCAACACCGAGTCTGCCAGAAATTGGCACATCTCTCAAAAGAATGTGAATGTTCTCAAGGAAGAGCTGCCCTGCCTGTCCATTTGCATTGAATTGGGAAACCAAGAAGATGACCCAACCAGCAGAATCCAGAGCCTCTCTCTCACCTTAAATAGTAAACACAAAGCCTGCACAAAAACACTGGTAACCTTCGCTCAGGTCACAGCAGTGACAGGTCAGAAATGCAACACTGACACGGGACAAGTGCAAAAAGGCACATGAGAGCCCATCACTCGGCCAAGAACATGGTGAGAGCCCAGCAAGGAGATTCTTCTTTGTCCCAAACACCAAACATCCAAAGCAACACTAGTCTTGTTTTAGGAAGAGGACTGGTTAGGAAATTGCTGCTGTTAAGATAATAAGGGGAGCAGTGAACCACAAAAGACGAGTGTGGTCAGCCTGTAAGTAAGACTATAGTTCAATAGTTGCAGTGTAGGATTATGAAACAGGAGCTCTGGAAGGACAGAACCAACCTCATGTGCACTATTTAACCTCAAAAATTTTCTCACACTTTGAGTTTTCTTTGTCCTTATGCTTCACCATGTCCTTGTAAGCCCAGCAACATGGCAGGCAAAACTCCTCCACCGTGTCATAGAACCATGCACACACTGGAAAAGACCAGTAAGATTACTATGCCCAAATGTCAACCCATCCCCACCATACAACTAGCCACGTTCCTCAGTGCCACATCTTCAAGTTGCTTGAACACCTCCAGGGACAGTGACTCCACCACTTCCCTGGGCAGCCTATTACCATGCTTTCTGCAAGAAAGTTTTCCTACTTCCCAAACTGAACCTCCCCTTGGTGCAACTTAAGGCCATCATCAAGAGCTGAGTCCCCTCATGTTGCTGAGGTGCTGCTCAACACAGGAGAAAGTGACACCATGCTCTGCAGAGAGACCATGAGTGAGTAATTGTGGGTAGGGGGGGCTTCATCTTTCAAACCTTGGCAGTTCTCTCTTTTTTTCATGTTGGGGAATCACTGAAGACCATGTCAGACATCACATAGTACCCCAATAAGTTCCACAAGTGGGTTCTTTTCCCACAAAGCCTGTTTGCTGGGTTTGCAGTATGTTCAGGACATTTATCTGCCCTCCCACCTCCCACCATCTTATCAAAGAGATGAAATCAACGAAGCAGTTCCAGCTGCCTTGAGAGACATCTCCTATTTCCTGCTTCAGCACAGGGGTTAAGAACAACGTTTCTGTTCATCACTGAAATAAACATTAAATGAATGTTGAGTTATATCCCTCTTGTGACTAATGTTCTAGCTTGTTTTCTAACATTAATTCTTCATATACTTTTTTTTTCCCCTCTTACATTTGTCCAGACTCCTGTGTTCCTGGGGGAATAATTACCCACTCAGCAGTTACTCTGAAGTCCAATTGTAATAGTTGGCAAACCTCCATTCTTCCATGCAAGCTTTCAAAATAATACTTTAGCTTATTTCAAATAGCACCACTCTCTGGAACTTCTTCCCAATTTGCTTTGCCTTGGATTGATATTCATTTCACTGCTTGTTGAGAGCTGACCGCTTTGCTTGTCACAAGGCAGATATTCTCAACAGAACAATTACAAACAAACAAAAAACAGAACAGAGGGAAGGCGTGTTTAAAAATGATCCATTGTGATGTAATGGTCTATTTCCTCATCTAATGAATCCTTACTAGGAATGTAAGCAATGAAGAAAACACTGATTCAAACCTGGATTATAATTCACCAAAACACAGATGTGATCATAGGAAGTATTTTCATTCACACCAACCTTGGAGTTGTCAGAAAGTTTGGGTAAATTTTAGTCATGTGTTCTGTGACCTAAAAATGTGCATTTTCTTATTCTCTAGGGACCTGGGGACAAAACATTCACTGTACTGGCATAATAAGAAATAACTGAGAGCTGAATTCAGATCACTGGTATATACTTTTTCCTATAAACACTGCTTGGGAGGAAACCGCGTCCTTTCCCAACTGTGCTACTATTTAATTTATGTCTATATGACCAGAAGCAACCCACCTCATCTCCTTTCTCTCCGTTTTTTCCATCTGTTCCCTGAGGATAATAGTCTTGGCACTGTATGATACTGAGCAAACTGATGTTCAAAAATTGCATTTAGGTTGTCTGGTGAAGGAAGTATAGCAAAAAGTTGATGACAAAGCCTTGTCTTTGGGACACTTTAGCTGTTCCAATGTCATGGGGAGTGTGGCAGATCCTGGAAGGAGAACCTGGAATCAATGAATGGGAGAGAAGAGCACATCATATTTAACTATTTCACTCTTCCTTAACTCTACTTAATGACATGCTAACTCAGTTTTTTCCTAAAATAAAGAGAGATGGCTCTAAACCTTTGAACATCACCCAGTGTTTGACCAAGTGTCTGCATTTTATTTTTCTTTTGGCCTAAGCCTGTATTTAATTGTGAGCATTTCATGAACCAGTGGATGCAGTAGGGCTCGTCTGGATAGCACGACAGCTCCTGTCACTCAACAAGCATCACCTCCATTTTTACAGTTAAGCATTGATCACGGTAACTTGTCAGGCTTAGCTAAACTTCTCTACTGTAATTCCCTTTTGCAAGCAAATTCCTGTCTTGATATCACAGCCTAAGGTAAATACAGACAAGTTTCTGCTCTGCAAAGTATCACAGTGCCAGCCTACTCACAACTTTGCTAGGGTGACCAGTCAAGAACACTGATTTCGCTTTTACTTCAGAAATAAGAGAGTTATCACTGATCTGAGAGGACGGAAAAAAGGCTGATTCTAAGACATCATTTTTCTCTTTTAGCGTGCAAAGTCAATTATAATCACAAGTGTATGTTGTTTGCAACAACCAGCACTAACCAGGAATTTCACTGCTTGGCACAGAAGAGGATGAAGAAATCAATTGCAAACTCTGTGTCTTTATCAAAATCGATCCTGTAATTAAATATTTACCTTCAAGACTTGTCCAGCACAAAATTACTTTTTTTTTTTAAAGGATGATATCCTTCCCTCTGCTCTACATGCTAAAATCAATGTACATGGATTACTTTAACCCTACCAAATTTTACTCTCTTTTTCTTTTTATACAGTTTTAAATCTTCCAGTGTCTTTACTTCATGAACTCTCATAAATGCTTCTGCTAACATTTCAGGTCACCTCTCTGTTACTTTCCCATTCCCCTTGCTGCTTTTGCCCCATGCCCAGCTTCTGCTGCACAGCACTAATTCTGCTAAAGGAGAGGACACTGCACTGCCACAGTCACACTGGAAATCCTGTTGGACTTTAACCTTGGAAAACTCAAGCATTTCCAAAATCTTGGGAGCCGTTCTTAATCTGTCAGCATCTTTTTGGGAACGATCTAAGAACTGCCTGGGCATTCATAGGAAAACTGAAACTGTCAGATGTTCTTTCCTTCCTCCTGACCTATGTGCAGAGTTGTCAAGATGGACTGTTGCTTGGGCCAGCAAACAGCCAAACAGTTGAATCAGAAGCGTCATCTCAACAACTTAAGGTTGGAATCAGCACATTTCAACCCAGGCCTGGCAGGTGAGCACTGTCAGCAATGCTGTACCAGGTCTGGTAAAGGGCTGGCGAGACATAAGCAGTGCCAAGTCACAGCAGATCCCCTCCTACAGAGCAGCTCCACGTGTTTCACAACTTGCCTGTCCTGCTGTAGCCCCTGTGGTGCTGTGGGTTGATGGGATGGAGGTCTGTAACACCTGCTCAGGTGCACATTCAGGTCATACACCTCCCCACAGCACCCTGCTGCAAACAGCTGTATATGCACCACCCTGATTTCACCGTGGTTGAATGCCAGTTGAGGCTGCTGCTTTATCTGTCTGCCTTCAGCAGAGCTCAACAGCAAGTGTTCACAGCAGCTGCTAGTAGATAACGTGTTCATGTTCTTTCCATCACTGCCACAGGGATGAGTACCATGCTTTACTGGCACTCTCTGTGGTGCTTGCTACTGAGGCTCCATGGCATCTGCTCTTGCTAGCCTGAGCTCCAGGCACAGGAAAGGCTGCACATCTGCTGGAGTTTTATCCCAGCCATAGGTTGAAACATAGGCTGAAACAACCTATGTGTTTCAGCCATAGGTTGAAACACAAGGTGCTCCTTTTTAAAGCAAATTCCATTTGCTTCCAGTCTGGAACTGCAATTCTGTGCAGGGAAGGGCCAGGTGTGCAAGCTGATATCCAGCGTGCAAAGGTGGAAGCAGTGTGGCCTCCAGAAAAGCTGCAGCAGCAGCCCAGTGCCAGACTGAGGTACAGTATTGCAGCCTTTGACGTCATTCCAGCACAATCAGACTCCGGCGTCTGTTGGATAGGACATTGCACACAGTCCCCCCTCCCTGAGAACTCATTGTGCAACACCGAAACAGATTTCACTGAGGAATGAAGCCCAGCTCTGCCCTGCAGAGAATTGGCTCAGCACTGCCAGGATCAGGCCTTAACTGCACAGAAATAGATTAGATCGGTGTCAGGCTGCTCAGAAAGCTGTCTGATTATTTGTCTTCAGGCAAAAACATTTTAAAATATAGAGGGGACACCAGCATGCAGCAGCAAAATGATGGATGCAAGAGCTGTGTGCCCTCTCAAGCTGAGCTGTTTGCATGAGGCAGAAGGAGAAGATTTGAACGCCACTTCAATTTGTTGCTAGGACAGTACTCACTGCAATTGGGCTTGGGCAAAAAAAGTAAAAGTTACCAAAATCTGGGAGGCATATAGGATAGAATCATAAAATCATAAAGGTTGAAAAAGACCACTAAGACCATCCAGTCCAACCATCAAACCGTCAGCATTAATACAGCCCACCAGACTGTGTCCCTAGTGCCACATCTCCATGGTTACTGAGCACCTCCAGGGACGGTGACTCCACCGCTCCTGGGCAGCCTGTGCCAATGCATCACACTCCTTCTGAGAAGAATTTCTTCCTAATATCCAACCTAAACTTCCCCTGGTGCAACTTAAGGCCACCTCTGCGTATTGCTGTTACCCAGAAGCAGAGGCTAATTGCCACCTCACCATAACCCCTTTCAAGAGCTGTAGAGAGCAGTAAAGTCTCTGCTAAGACTCCTATTCCCCAGACTGAACCATCCCAGTTCCCTCAGCCACTCGTGTCATCAGTCAGAATAAGTGCTTGGAGATGTTTATGTCTTTTCTGGGATAAAGGAATCAAGGGACATTGACGGGGAAGCCAAAAGACGATGATATTTTGGGGCAGGGGGTGGGAGAAATCAGAGCATGAGGTGCAAAAGGCACAGGAAGAACTTGACACAGGCAGGAGCAAAAAAGGCCTTAGGGCTCCCAGGCAGCTCCGTTGGAGCAAATGGCTCAGTGTTGGACTGGGGCATGGGCTGCCACCTCCAAGGAGAAGGCTGAGGGCTGGCAGTTCCATCCAGCCAAGAGAAATGAGCAGCAAAGGGGCCTCTGGCCTGGAGGATGGAGCAGCAGCAGGGCGGGCTGTGCAGCACGGGTGAGGCACAGTGCTGGAAGTGGGGATGGAGAGGTGTCCCAGCCCTCAAAGCTCAGTGAGTGAGACAAGTCCTCATAAAAACACGAGCCAGCAGGAAAGTTTCAGCAACCCAAAAGAAGAGGTGCGGGAAAGAATAAAAATGCTGAGAAGTCACCTCAAGCAGAGGCTCCTGAGCCACGTTGGAAGGCAGCCACTGCATGGGACAGGGCCAGGCAGGGAACTTGGCACTTCTCAGCCCTCTCTGGAGCCCGCTGAGACAGTAGACAAAAAGTTTTGTCAGCTCAATTACTGCAGCCTCCTCCTCCCTCTTCCCCACCTTCAAGAGGAAGATGTGCCAGGAGCTTCTCTGGCTGGCTACAGGGCCACGTGCCTGCAGAGAAGCCATGTGGGCTGCTCCAAGGGGCCACAGTGAGCAACTGCACGCTGATGGAGCTGCAGGGTTCACCTCTGAAAAGAGAATGCACTGTGACCCACAGTGCGCAAAGTCCCAGACCTAACACAGCATATGGGGCATGGAAGGTAGATCAGTCAAACTGCTGCAGTTCTCACTGGGCTGATCCCAAACAACTTGAGACCTTCACTTAAGAACTGGGCTCTGTTCCTCCTGCTGCAACAAAACATGGATATATTGCAGTGGTGAAACTGCTTGCTTCACACTTTACCATTGCCAAAGACAGAAGATGATTTACAAGATGCTAGGAAAAGCATCAAGAAAATAAACAAGAGACTTCAACTAGCTCTTGAGAATGGCTTAGCCATAGCTCAGGCTCAGTAAGCACTGAAAAGTCTACATGAAACCAAATATGAGGATAACAGAAATCTAAGCATTCTTACAAGAGCATTTCCCACAGCCAGCACTGATCCGAGCAGCTTTAACAAGCTTCATTAAATTAAATTTGGGAAGCTTGCAAAGGGGTACTGGCCAGAGGGGCTGGATCTGAAGGACAGGCACCAGCTGGCTTTCACTGCAGGGTACAGCCTTGGGATCAGCAAACTTCAGTCTGTGTAACACGTGGCAGGCCACTGCAGAGCATGCAGCACAGCAAGCACTTGCAGGCTCTTCTCCATGCCTGGATAGTGTCCTGCTGCGTTCCTATAATTTGAATGTTAGCTGCTGTATCAAGATGTTTCCCAGTGAGACAGAGGCTGCCAGCCTGAGCCTGAACCAAAGCTGCTCCAAAAAGTCGTGATTTACTTTGGACACGCTGCTGCTGGCAGGGGGAAAAGTGATGGGAAAGCAGAGAGCTCACCGAGCTGCTCCTCTGGCACCAGCTGAGCAGAGCCAACATTTCACAACCCCTGGGGAGATGGATGGGAAGGGAAACCATTTCAGTGGGCACCTGAATGCAATCAAGCCTCTTCAGCAACAGAAACGACTGTCATCCCTGTGCCGTGCCTCAGCCTTCCAGTGTTGCAAAATCCCTCCTCATGTTATATGCAGGCAGTAGGGTTTCTAATTTAGAAGCTGCGCTGGAACAAGAACAGAAGAGGCATTCAGGGGTGAGGGTTTCATCTGGCACAAATCTGCAGTCACCAGCGAGATTGCTGCTGTACCTGAAAGCAGCTCCCACCAGAAGCTCTGAGCACCACTGCTCCCATTCCCTCAATGACAAGTCCACTCTCTATCTCCGGTGTGGCCATTTAGATGTAGCAGCTGCTAGGTTCAACTCAAGGAGAGATCACAAAACCTGTGGAGGAGCAGCCCTCAGCCCAAAGGCAGCAATGCTGGTGCTTGCTCCAGGCAGCCCAGCTGTGCTTAGCACATGGT